TCCTTAAAAACATAGGATTCCAGAGTTATGATACTAAAATATCATTCACCTCATTCTTCAACTTGATTTTACTGAAGGCTGTTTGATTATGATACAATCTTTGCTTTTTATATAATATATACACATATACTTATATATCTACATTATATATGTGATTATAGATAAAATATATAATAAATATATAAAATTATATATAATACAAATATAAAACATATAAACACAATTGCTTATAAGTAAAATGCTTCACTCTATCATATATATCATAGCTTTTTATAATAAATGTCCTTATTGGGATAAGCCAAAATGAAGTAAATATGTTAGCATGTTTTTCCTTGATATTAATGAATATAATGCATAAATAGCACATCCGTGCTGCATAGTTTAGCAGTCATCATAATAAAGTAGGTTGGGCAATCTGAGATTACAGAAGATAAAGCCTTTAGTGAAATCAAGAATAGTGAATAGAAGAAGGAGAGCTCTAACTGCACATATGCATGGTCATGCTTACACACACACACACAGGTACACACTCATATGTCCACACATGCACACACACACCACATACAGTCATGCATGCACACAACATATAAACATATCCTATGCCTCACCCCCACTCGAAAGAGGCTTGATTCAGACTCAGAACACAAGGTCTCACTGGAAATTGTGAGACAGCTTTGACTCCAACCTTAAGAACTGTGCAGAAAAAAAAAATCCATCTTTATGGTTGCTTGTTGTGTGTCTTTGATATTTTACAAGTGAACCATTGAGAAAGTATCCTTGGTTCAGAAACATGAATGATGCTTTTTTTTTTTCAAGTATATCCCTAAGAAACTTTATCACTTAAATTTTTCTACTGTTCTAGATGTGTCAAGGAAATGTTTTGCACTCTCATAATAATTTTACAAATGGGAGAAGAATACCAGAGAAGCTAATGGACAAGTTAACTGGTAGAAAGTAATGGAGCCAGAAGCTAAGTCCTAACATAAGTCAGTCACAGTGACGATTCTATAGCTAAGTATGATTACTATTACTTAAAAGCTGATATCAAATTAGGTGGCCAGAAATTAGAATTTACATGTATATTGAAATGTCACTGTCTTAACCAAATCTCCATAGATATTTAGAGAGTTTGAAAGATGAACTGTTTATAAAGTTTATGGCCATACTCTATTGGTAGGTAAAGGTCAGAGAATTGAAGCCAGACCACAGGGTGGTGTGGGAGCTCTCTGCAGTGATCCTAAAAGGAAAGAGCTGGGCTGTTTACCTAGCTCCTCTTAGCTTAACTAAGTCAGGAGGCAGGAGAGCACCTCGATATGCTGCATGCCTGTCAGCTTGTGTATGACCAAAGTGCTGAGAACCTTCCAGAACATATGAAGATGTCCAACATTGTCTTATATGTAGTGGGATATTTTTCCCACAAGTTGGGAGGAGCTAAGGTTGGAGGAGTAAGGAAAGAAAGAGGAGGAGTAAGGAGAGGAAGAGGAGAAGGAAGAGAAGGAGCACATGAGAGAGAGGAGGGGAGGGAGGGAGGGAGGGAGGG